AGGTGAACTCGACAAACGGCAAAATCGACTCCCACTTAGCACCTCTGTCTAGAACCTAAGCTCAGAGCATATCCTCGAGTGTCTGAATGGTCTTCTCTGATTGACCGTCTATCTCTGGATGGTAAGCCGAACTAAACTGTAACTGCGTGCCCATCGCCTCGTGTAAACTCTCCCAGAACCTGCTAATTAATATGGGATCTCGATCTGACACAATGCGAATGGGTACTCCGTGGAGTCGAACAATCCCATGGGTATAAATCTCGGCCAACTTCTCCATCGACATGGTCATCGTCACAGGTAGGAAATGTGCGACTTTCGTCAATCTGTCCACCACAACCCAAATCGCATCGTGATGCTCGGACAACTTAGGTAGCCCTGTAACGAAATCCTTTGTGATCTCCTCCCACTTCCACTTCGGAATCTCAAGTGGTTGCAGAAGGCCCATCGGACTCTGGTGCTCGGCTTTGACTTGCTGACAGACCAAACACTTCTTCACAAAATTGGCCACGTCTTTCTTCATTCCCCGCCACCAAAATGACTTTTTCAAGTCGTGGTAAATCTTCGTGTTGTCGGGGTGAGTTAAATAACGCGCTGTGTGTGCCTCTGTCAAGATTTCCTTCTGCAAGGCCTCGACTTTCGGCACTACGATCCTACCTCTAAACTCGAAGGCTCCATCTGTGCCTCGGGGAAAACCCTCGAGTGCTCCGGCATGAACTTTCGTCTCGATAGCACGGATAAACTGGTCAGAAGCCTGCTCCCGCTGGATTCGATCCCTCAACGTGGGCTGAATCTGCATCGAGCTAACACTCCCCGTGATCTCTGTAGGAAGTGACTCGGCGACCTGAATCTGCATCTGGGCAAAGTCTCGAAAAAGATGGCTCTGCTGAGTAATAGAACATGATAATTCACCCGTTACCTTTCGGCTCAGGGCGTCAGCTACTACATTTGCCTTTCTCGGATGATACTGAATCGTGCAGTCATAATCTTTAACCAGCTCTAAGCAACGTCGCTGACGCATGTTGAGCTCTTTCTCCATGAAAATGTACTGCAGACTCTTGTGATCGGTATAAATCTCGCACCGGCCTCCATATAGATAATGCCACCATATCTTAAGTGTATGTACCACTGCAGCTAACTCCAAGTCATGCGTAGGATAATTCTGCTCATGGGGCTTCAACTGACATGAAGCGTACGCTACAACCTGGTCGTCCTGCATAAGTACACACCCCAAACCCTGTCTCGAAGCATCACTATAGATGGTGAAACTCCAAGAAGGATCCAGAATAGTCAACACTGGTGCCATCGTAAGCCTCTCTTTCAGCTCCTGAAAGCTCGACTCACAACGATCTGTCCATTCGAACTTCACATACTTCCTCGTCAACTGGGACAAAGGGAGGGCAATCTTCAAAAACCCCTCAATAAACCAGGGATAATAACATGCAAGGCCGAGAAAACTACGAACCTCAGACGGATCATTGGTGCTGACCAGTTCTGAACTGCGGCAATCTTCGATGGATCAACTTTGATACCTGCCTGAGTAATAATGTGGCCAAGAAAAGCCACTCGCTGCAGCCAAAATTCGCATTTAGAGAACTTCGCATATAATTTTTCTCGTCTAAGGGTCTCAAGAACAACCCTCAGATGCTCTTCATTCTCCTTCTGGCTTCTGGAATATATTAGAATATCATCAATAAACACGATAACAAACTGATCAAGAAAAGGATGGAATACACGGTTCATCAAGTCCATGAAAACCGCTGGGGCATTAGTAAGACCGAACGGCATAACCACGAACTCGTAATGACCGTATCTGGTGCGGAATGTTTTCTTGGCGATGTCTGACTCCTTGATCTTCAACTGATGGTAACCTGAACGTAAATCAATCTTAGAAAATACACAGGCTCCTTTCAACTGGTCGAACAAGTCGTCAATTCTAGGAAGCTGATATTTATTCTTCACTGTCAACCGGTTAAGATCCCGGTAATCAATACACATACGCATAGAATCGTCCTTCTTCTTAACAAATAGAACGGGTGCTCCCCATGGTGAAAAGCTCGGTCGAATAAAACCGAGATTCAGCAACTCCTGGATCTGAGTGTTTAACCCTGTAATTCTTTAGGTGCCATTCTGTACGGCGCCTTGGATACTAGTCAGGCTCCTGGTATAAGATCAATAGAAAACTCCACTTGCCGGCTACGTGGTCCGCCGGGAAGCTGTTCTGGAAACACATCCACAAACTCACAAATAATAGGAATGTTGTGAGGTGTCCGTGCTTTCGATTCATCTCCGACAAGGCTCACTAGGTGCCCCTGGCAACCACCTCGTCGTAAAACCTTTCTGGATTTCTCCATGGAAATGATATGAGGCAGACTACGAGTCCTGGAACCGAAGAAAGTAACCTGGTCGTCCTCCAGAAGATGAAGATTATTCTCTCGGTCGTGACAACGAATATCTGCATGAAAACGGGTTATCCAGCCCATATCAAGAATGAGGTCAAAATCCCTCATCTCGATGACATAAGCATCGGTAGTCAAGATACGGCCGCCGATGGAAAGGCTGAGACTTCGGCTTTGGCATCGGTCACTATCTTTCTTCCCGAGGCTAAACTCACCTCGAGAGGATCGACAGTGCTGACGGAACGAACTCCAATGGCATCAAGACATCAGTGTGATATAAAGGAATGGGTCGCTCCGGTGTCGAATAAGGCGAAAACAGGAACATTATTTAGAATAATTATCCCAGACATGGTACCTGGGCACTGTTCTACTTCGGCCTGATCGACGGCATAGGCATGGGCCTGCTGTCTCCCGCGCTGCTGCTGGCAGGTACAACTATGCTACGGCTATGCTATATGATGTAAGTTGATGTGATGTTTATGATGTATCGGTACTATTTGAGGTTTATGTATATGCCAGGATCATGATGGTGCAATTATTATTGATGTTTACTTTAGTATGAGTTTCTGCGGAGCACAGTGGCTTTTAGTGCTCACGCCCCATGATTTTTATGTTTTTCAGGTCACAGGGTCGGACCGGAGGAGTGAGCTGGTCAGTGGTTCGTGATCAGAGGTTTGGGCTAGCTGCCATATATATATTGATTGCATATGTTTATCTACGCTTTTACTACCATTGATGCTTTATGACTTTTTGAACTGGCATGTTTATTTTCATATTTAATCCAGTTTATCAATCGAATTTTTATACAGTATTACATGCTAGCTTGATTTTAAATAATCCGTCTTTCATAACATTTAAAAATATCATGATAACGGATTTTATGTCGATGAAATGGTTTTTAGTAGCATCAAGATAAGGATTTCGCAAATTAATATGATTTTCTAGGAAAAGCTTTGCAAAAAATTTTACTCTGATAATTATGATATAGCGGGGTGTTACAGTTGGTATCAGAGCATGTTTTTGTGTATCTGAATACTTTAGCAAGTCAGAAATTTTAATAAAAACCCGACCACACCACGCTCACGCCTCGCCGACTACAGGTAAGTGCTGATCTATGATTTAAATTATAAACAAATTGCTATGTCTATGCTCAACATGATGTCTGATCTTAGGGTCAGTAAGTATGCTCGAAATCATGAATAGGGTATTTTATGGATATGTTCCAGTTTATTGAGGTCATGTTAAGCGACTCGTCAAGATATCTGTGGGCATTACTAACCAGTTAATGTATTTTGCTATGTTATATTCCTGTATCTGATTATATTGAACTTTTCAATATTCAGATGCCGCCTCGTAGAGATCCAGATCATCAAGAGGTCCCCCAGGCCACCGTAGTCGCTCAGTTTCGCGACTACCATCTAGAGAAATTTTCTGGCCAGGGAGATCCCCGACTTGTTGACGAATGGGTCCAGGGCCTTGAAATGATTTTCGAGGTCATGGACTGTCCTGATCGTTATCGTGTCCTTTGCGCACAGATCCAAATGACGGTGACGCATGTCTCTGGTGGAATGCCTACTGGGGAATGCGTCCTGGTGAAAAAGAAGGTTGTACGTGGGACAATTTCAAGGAGTTAATACGTGAGAAGTACTATCCTGCTTATTATCGAGCAGAAATGGAGGCCAACCACGATCAAATTCAGCTAGTTGCCCCTACTCAGTCATTATCCGTGCCACCTATCCAACCAGCTGCTGCCTAACAACTGAAGAATAAAGGGAAGTGGAGAGGTTTCCAGACCGAAAGGAGGAACCGTCTAAGACACTCTGGTGCAGCCAGACCACATCCAATTCCACCATGTGATACTTGTGGACGACCCCATCATGGAGAGTGCTTCTGGGCAAAAACATCTGTTTCTTTTGTCACGAGCCTGGACATTTTGCCAGTCGCTGCCAAAGCTACCACAACAACGACAGCAACCACAGCAGCAGCAACAACAACAGCCCAGGCAGCAACCTCCCAGACCACCTCAGCAGCAGCAACAGCAGCGAGGTAGACAGTAGGCTCGTGTTTATGCTGTAGACCAGGTCGAGGCGGAGCAGCACCCATGTACTATGTCTGGGATGATTATGCTAAATGATGTTCCTGTTTTCGCCTTGTTTGATACTGGAGAAACTCATCTTTTATATCACGACGATGTCTTGATGCCATTGGAGTACATTCTATTAGCGTTGTCGATCCTCTCGAGGTGAGTTTAGCCTAGGGGCGAAAGATAGTGACCGATGCTAAAGCTACAGATATCAGCCTTTCTATCGGTGGCCGTATCTTGACTACCGATGCTTATGTTACCGAGATGAGGGACTTTAACCTTATTCTCAGTATGGATTGGCTAACTTATTTTCATACAGATATTCAATGTCATGACCGAAAGATTACACTCAATCTTCCGGGAGATGATCAGATTACTTTCTTTGGCACCAAGACTCGTACTTTGCCTCATGTTATTTCTATAGAAAAAGCCAAAAGATCCTACGACGAGGTGATTGCCACGGTTACCTGGTGAGCCTTGTCGAAGATGAACTGAAAGCACGGACACCTCACGACAATCCTATCGTTTGTGAGTTTGTGGATGTGTTTCCAGACCAGCTTCCAAGCGGTCCACCCAGCCGGCAAGTGGAGTTTTCTATTGATCTTATTCCGGAAGCCGGACCAGTATCCAAGGCACCGTACAGAATGGCACCTAAAGAATTACAAGAGTTAAAGACTCAGATCCAGGAGTTGCTGAATCTTGGTTTTATTCGACCGAGCGTTACACCATGGGGAGCACCCGTTCTATTCGTCAAGAAGAAAGACGGTTCCATGCGTATGTGTATTGATTACCGGGATCTTAACCAGTTGATGATAAAGAATAAATATCTGCTTCCTAGAATTGACGACTTGTTCGACCAGCTGAGGGGCACCTGTGTATTTTCCAAGATTGATTTAAGCTCAGGTTACCATCAGCTGAAGATCAAGAGCCAGACATTGCCAAGACAGCGTTTCGAACCAGATACGTGTTGGGTTCTGTTAGGAACGTCAAACAACATGCACAGTATTGAACTTTATCGAAATAAATCCTAACGCAGTGGAATCTATAGTTAGGATATGGACGTTCACCTTTTTAAATTTTTGCCGACTCTGAGACGATGTAGAGTACCGTTGGTGAAGTTCGTCTGAACACCACAACCTAATGGGCGG